TTCCCACGTCCTGGTGCCTTTAAAGCTTGGATGTACATTTAGGCTTCCGGCGTCCACCGGGACACTGTAAGGATGTAGTAGACAGTGCTCTTAAGCTTTCATATACTCAGCTGTCTGACTGGGAATGCAGTGAGGAGTGTGGATGACCTACCGGGCCATCATGGGAGAGCCTGGTCCCTCTGATCAGGGTCTGGATGCTGGCTCTGTGTTCAGTGGTGGGCATCATTGTCCAGAAAGTACTTTGTGACCCGCAGCCTCATGTTCTGGCACAGGGGTCCTCAAACTATGGCCCACGGGCCACATGCGGCCCACTGAAGACATTTATCTGACCCGTTGGGTGTTTTTGCCCCGTTTTGTTTTTTACTTCAAAATAAGATATGTGCAGTGTGCATAGGAATTTTTCATAGTTTTTTTAAACTATAGTCCGGCCCTCCAAAGGGTCTGAGGGACAGTGAACTGGCCCCTGTTGAGGACCCCTGTATCTAGCACAATAAACCAAAGCCGTGGCTGCTGAGTGGACCCGACTCACGGAGGAGACTCCTGGGGAGGGAGTAGAACTGCATACCTGGGGTTTTCCACAGCTGACTTGGGGGGCGTGGTTTGTCAAGTTTTCCTTCTGATGGTCGTCTGGGTGGACTTACTGAGCAGCCGGCCTTCTTTGCCCCCATTTTCCCTCCCCGAGGACTCCTCCAGGGAACTGGACCCTTCCCCCGATGCCACACCCTGGCACAGCCAGCAAGACCCCCCAGGGGCCCCTGGTGACGATGCCAGGCGAGCACTGGGGTTCTAGAACCACTCCACATGCTGACATTGTGCACCTTGAATAGTGCAGAGTCCTGGCGACCAACATGCCAAGCGGTGGGGCTGCCTGGTCAGAGCTCCCCTCGGCATGGCATGGGGTACAGTGGCAGTCACAGCCCCCCCGGATCTGCCTGGAAACATACAAAGGGACCAGGTAGCCTCTTCGGAAGATGAGCCAAAGGAGAGAGCTGCACATTAAGCCCAGGTGTCCAGCGGCCTCTGTGTTCTGCTGCAGCTACGCAGCTGCCTGCCAGATGCGCTAACCACACAGAGCTGCCCCCGGAGGGTAGCATCGGCAGCAGGCTGCCCCTTTGGGAAAGGGGCACTCCATGCCAACAGGAAGCCCAGGGGAGTTCTAGAGAGGTGAGCATAGTTTGTGCTTGTCTCCTGTGTGGCATCGCCATTCCCCCTTCAGGCAGGGGTGTGCTGTGGGGCTGGGGGCCCGGTGCTGTGTGCCACAGAATCAATACTGACTCACAGCGACCCTGGCGGTCAGAGCAGAACTGCTCCCAGGGGCTCCAAAGCTGGAGCGGTCAGGAGAGCGAGTTGTAAGGCCTTCCATCCCCCTACCTCCACCCCCGAAAGGCCAGGAGGTGAAGCCTTAAGGCCACCACTGGGTTCGCTGCTGAGTGCTTCCCTGTGGTACCACCAGGACCCCTTCAAGGAGATGGAAACCCAAACTCCCCGGCTCACAAGGACCGGCCCTGTCGGACAGGCTAGAACTGTCCCTGGGGGTTCCCCAGACGCTCCCTCCATGGGAGTGAAAAGCCCTGTCTTTTTCCTTCAGAGCGCCTGGTGGTTTCAAACTGCACACCTGGCGGCTGGTAGCCCCAGGGAGGCAGGAGCGGGTGTTTCCGTTTCAGCTCTGTGGACAAAGGAAAGGAAATCCAGAAGAATAGGGGGCTTGTCCTGGACACCCCGCCAGCTAGCTGTCTGGGCACGGCCAATGCCCAGGCCCCCGGCTCAGGGCCCTTGAAGCTAAACCTAGCTCTGGGGGGAGTCCTGCATCCTGGCACCAACCACTCTCCCCTCCTCCTCCGGGCAACTCCTGTCATGCCTGCAGTCAGGCCCTCAGCGACCCAGCTCTGGAGCAGGCACTCTCAAGGAAGGGGTGTTTCTGGAGGGGAGAAACCAGGACTGGGGGACCCTCAAGCTCAGTGGGAAAATTTGCAGTGGCAGGTGGGGGCTCAGACCCTCAAGAGGAAGAAGTAGTCTCTCTGTGGTTTGAGAGCATTTAAGGGAGGTGAAGGGGTGAAATGACAGCATCCAACATGGGGCGGAATATTCCAGATGGAAGGGATCACAGAGGTCACCCCCTACCCCACCAACCCCATCCTGTCTTCCAGTTTTTAGATGAGAAAACACAGGCCAGAGATTTGGCCTCAAATCCGTTTCCCTGTCCAGTTGCCCCCCGCTCTCCCCCACACCCCTGCCCCCACCACCCCCACCCTTAGCAGCACCACCTCCTTTGAGTGGAGGACAGTGTGTGAACTCAGTCTGCGTCAGGTCTCCCTGTTTGCAGGCAGGCCGGGTGGCCGTTGAAGGCCCGCGATGCTGTGGGCTCGGGCCTCTCTTCCGAGGCCCTGGGATGGTGACGAGTTGTCCTGGATCTCTGCTGGGAGGCTGGTTTCATGTGAGGGGGAAATCTCCAGCTCAGGGACATTTGGGCTTCACGAGTCCCCTTTCCGGCCCGGCAGGACACAGAACGGTTCAAGGCGCTCAGTCAGGAGCTGCAGCAGAGACTCTCGTCTAAGGAGCAGGAAGTGGACCAGCTCATCCTGAAACAGAAAAGGGTATGCCTTTGGCTGCGTGCTCACGGTCTTTCTCGTCTCTTCTCTGGTGCTCGCTGCAGCATTCTTTGCTAACCCAAGAAGATCCGCTTTGCTGTACGCAAGAGAGCATTCGAAGGCACACGTGGCCCCGAGGTAGCCTCCTCTAATTCTTCAATGCCAGAGGTGAGCTTGGGAAAGTTGCCAAAAAACACCCCCAACGGACATATGCAGACAGTTTCCTACACTTTACACGCAGGAGCCCCCAGCCTGCCGACCCGTGGATATGTGTCTCACGTCCTGTAGAAGGAAGGAGAGAGGTCCCAGGGCTGACAGGACATCGTGCAGTCACTGAGATTCTGAGAAAGGCTACACGTGCCTCTCCTTCAGGATGGCTACAGATAGAGAATCTTCAGAGGTTCATTTGTCCATCCTGGGCAGGTTCCTGAGTCTCCTTCAAGAGCTTTCCCACACCCTGCAGATGGCACAAGCAGCGGCCTGCTTATCTGATACACCCGAGCCCCCAGGGGGTACACGGTGCAGGGCCCACTGTGGCAGGGAAGTCAGGTCAATTCCCCAGGGAGATGGGTCACTTGGGCAAGCGTCTTGCACAGAGGCCTCCTCTGCAGAGTAAGGGCTCACTGGGAAGAGGGGCCAGGACATCACCGTCCCTGCTGGAACCCACCCCTGGACAGACCCAGACACATTGCTTCCCTTTGCAAGGAGAGGACTATTGTTAGCAACGCATGAAAATATGCTTGAAGACACGCGACACCCCATGTGGAGACACGCCCCTGCTGCACTCCTGCTGCGGCTCAAGCTGTGCATTGGGGGCTCTTTGCTTCTGCAGCAAGCTGAATCAAACCCCAGGAACTGCCAGCTTGCCTTCCCCGCCCCCACCCCTTCTACAGCCACACCTTGCTGCCTCTTCTTTTCCTCCCTAGTATGCATCACGCTGTTACCAATTAGATTTATCCTTCAAATGAATGATTGCCACTCGATTTAATTACGGCATGCTTGCCTGATTACACAGGGACCTCTTGAGACTCACACAAAATTCCGTGTTGTGGCTTCCTCCTCCCCTGCCTGGCCACATTCATCAGATTAAACTTATGACGACACATTTGTCTTGCTTTGGCTCTTCCTCCGGTGAGAGGCTTAGAAAGGCCATCAGGCACAATCGCCCGCCAGGAGAGGCTGATGTGGTCCAACTGCCACCCGTTTGTGTGCGTTTGTTCCCGCTGCTTTGGGGGCACGAGGAAGAGAGGCGTTCCGTTTGACCTGATTGTCCCATTTCCCAAAGAATGCCCAGGGTTCCTGGCTCCCCCCAGAAGCCCCTGTGGGTTAAAGGACCCGGAGAATAAGGAGCTTATTCCACCGAGAGAAGACGATGCAGTCAAGGAGTTCACGCTCAGGAATCAAGCCTGAGAAGGGGCTGTGATGACCAAAGCTCCGCAGCTGTGCTCCGTCTCCACAAAGGGCCAGGAAAAGAAGTGGGCTTCCAGGACAGCAGGAGGGAGCTGGGGTAGAGCTCAAAAGCGTTTTGACTTTGAAATGAAAGGCACAGTGGGCTGTGGGACTTCCTCTGCTGGGGGTCCCTGGATGCCGCTGCGCACCCTGGGCTGGTTAGTGGCCCAGTGTGGAGCTAGTGGAGAGACCAGATGTGCCCCAAGCTCCTCCTTGCTGTTGAAGTTAGTATGTGAGGACTGGGGGACAGGATGAGGCTTGAAAGCACTGGGGGGGCGCTGCCCACCAGTTGGAAAGGCAAGGCGAGGCCAGGTGGGCCAGCCTGGTGGGTGGCAATTGCTCACCACCACCCTCTCTTCCCCGTCCCCTACCTCCCCTGCAGCTGGAGGGCCAGTGCACCTCTCTGCACAGCGACAAGCAGGAGACCAAGACTGAGAACACCAAGCTGAAGCTCACCAATCAGGAGCTGGCCCTGGAGCTGGAGCAGACCACCCGCGAGCTGCAGGCCACTCAGCGGCAGCTGGAGAGCCTCCAACAGGATGCCTGCAGACTGCACCAGGAGAAGGAGATGTGAGTGGGGTCTTTCTGGAGCATTCCTTCTGGGTCCTCCTGCGCCCTCCTCTGTGGCGGCCTGCATCCCCGCTCACGGTGGGAGACCCTGCCTCCTGCCTAGGGAATGGGGACTCGGGGCCCCATGGGGACTCGGGGCCAACCGCTCTCTGAAACTTCTTCCAACCCTCTCCTACGATTCCACTCTTCTGGCTTTCTAGAGCACCCATGTCCTGAGCAGGGCTCTATGCTGCCTAGCACGGCACGGGATCGACATGAATGATACAGTGTCTGTCCTCGGAAAAGTGCTGCTGTTGCTGGGTGCTGTCCAGTCAATTCTGACCCCGAATGACCACGAGCACAACAGAATGCCCCTCCGCCCCGGTCCCGCGCCAGCCTCACCATGGTTCTGTTTGAGCCCAGTGCTGCAGCCACCGCGTCAGTCTGTCACACTCAGGGGCTTCCTCTGAGTTTATTTTTTTCGGCTGGCCTACTGTACCAAGCCTGATGTCCTTCTCCAGGGACTGATCTCTCCTGACCGCGTGTCCCAAGTATGTGACAAGAAGTCTGGCCATCTTTGCCCCTAAGGAGCATTCTAGTTGTCCTTCTTCCATGACAGAGCTGCCGTTTGTCTGATCAGGAAGGCATCGATCAACGCACAAACATTGAGTGGTCTCTGAGCAAAGGCTGGGGGAGCAGGCCTGACTACTGTAGACGAGTCACTTAGACTAGAGAGAAGTGGGGACGGCTTTAAGACCTGCATTGGATTTGGCAGATCTCTTACAGGCCAGTGGACCCTTCCCTTCATTCCAGCTCTCTACCTGCCCCTTTATTTGATGGGTCTTCCTCTGATTAGACTGGGGGCCCAGCCGGCAAAAAGCCATGTCCTTTGGGGAAGGGTTTCCCAGTGTACTGCTCCTGGTCCCCGGCTGTTGGGTTCACCTTGCTAGACAGTGACAAACCTGAGGCAGGGTCAAGGGGTGCCTGTAGACCCTAATCTAGGGGAGTCACTGAGACCAGCCTTGAGAATATTAGGCTTGGAGCACCAGCACACTCTATTGTGGCCCTGCATTGAATAGTAGTACTAGGTACCATCTAATTCTGATGGTTGTAGAGTAGATAAGGTCATGGTTCAAGTAGACTGTCAATCCTGTAGAATAGCTTCTTTGAGTATCTGATTTCCTTCTTTCTCTTTTATGCTAGATGAGTCGAGGCCAATAGTTGTGCCTAGATGGCCATTTGCAAGGTGGTTTTTTCTTTTTCATTTTATTTTGCTGTCGAGAATACATGGCAAAGCACACACCAACTCACCACGTACTGCATATACAATTCAGGGGCACTGATGGCATTCTTTGAGTTGGGTGACCGTCCCCAGCCTCCTCAGAAGAGGAGGCCCCATTCACATGAGTTCACTGCCACCCAAGGGTCTTAGCTAACCTTTCTAGGTGCTGCCGTCCAGGACATCCCATAGATATAGGTCTTGAAAGAGCACAACGCTCAAGGCAGCCATTCTTGACTAATTAAGCTACACTGTGGTATGGTTTTAAGAAGAGGTCAAGGGGGCTTCCTGTTTAAGGCTTTCAAGATGATCTCAGGACAGTCATTTTCAGGCCATCCAGCTTCGCCGGCTCCAGACAGTCTGTGATCAGCAGTATTTCTCCTTTTATGTCCGTCCCCTTTCACGCAGCATCATGTTTTCAAGTGCATCCAGGTCGTAGCATCTCTCAGGATTTTATATTTCTTGATAGTTGAGTCACACTCCATTATGTGGTTATGGTGCATTTCCTTTATCCGTGCACCTGCTGGTGGACTCCTGAGTTATTGCCCTCCTTGGATGCAATGAACATTGGTATGTCTGTTGCAGTCTCTCTCTGGGGCATATGCCCCGGAGTGGAATTGCTGTATCATAAGATAATGCTATGCTTAACGTTTTGAAAGACTGCCAAACAGTTTTCCGCCATGTCTGTATCATTTTGTATCCCCACAAGAAATATACGAGGATTCGAATTCCTCCACTTTCCCATTAACTCTTGTATTTTACTTTTCTTCTCCTTTTAAAAATAATAGCCACCCCTAGTGGGTGAGAAGTGGCATATCTCATTGATTTGTATTTGATGGTGTAGTGGTTATGCATCGGGCTGCTAACTGCAAGTTCAGTAGTTCAAACCACTAGCTGCTTCAAGGGGGAACGATGGGGTTTTTTACTCCCAGGGGTTACAGCCTCAGAAACCCACAGGGGCAGTTCTACTCTGCCCCCAAAGGTCTTGATGAATTGGCATCAATCTGACAGCAGGGAGTTTGGTTTTTGGAAGAGGTTTAGTGTTACACATTGGGCTGCTAACCTCAGTCAGCAGTTCAAAACCACCAGCTTCTCTGCAGGAGAAAGACACAGCTTTGTATTCCCATAAAGAGTTACATTCTTGCACAAGGGCAGTTCAGCCGGCCCTATAGGGCTGCTATGTGTCAGAATGGATGCGATGCAGGGAGTTTGGTTCTGAGTGATGTTGAGCGTCTTGCCATGTGCTTATTGGTCATTTGTATACTTGGGAGAAATGTCTGTTTAACTTCTTTGCCTTTCCCCCCCTTAAATTGGGTTGTTTGTCTTTTATTGTTGAGTTGTAGGAGTCCTGTATATCTTCTGGATGTGACACTCTTACCCTATCTTGGGCTTCCAAATATTTTTCTCTTATTCCCTCGAGAAACTATACAGAAGAGGAGGACTGGCCAGCATTCACTCATTCATTCATTTATTTACTTGCTCATACGTGTTGTATTCCTTCATTTGCTCATTTTTTTCTTTCAAAGTGCTCAACTTTGTGCCAGGTATCGGGGAAAGTCTGCTTTCAGGAAAGACAGTCTTACCCATGTGACGCTCAGTGCTTTAATGAATGACCCAACTCAACTCACTGCCATCAAGTCGAGTCTGACCCACAGCGAACCTGTAGGGCAGAGCAGAATGCCCCTGTGGGTTTCCAAGATGGTCACTCATTATGGGAACAGAAGGACCCATCTCTCTCCTGCAGAGCGGGCGGTAGCTTCGAACTGCTGGCCTTGTGTCTAGCAGCCCACTTTGTAATCATTATACCACCTGGGCCCCTCCATGCTTTACATAGGAGTATGTGTAAGTCCCCTTGCAGAAGAGTGAAAGCCATGCACTCTGTTTGACTTCTAACAGAGTCCTGGTCTGCAGGACGGAGTCACACTGCGGTGCCTGGCTGGCTCATGGGTGATGTCATGGTTGCCTAGGATGCAAGGAGGGAATGAGTTTGGATTTGGAACTTTACCCGATGAAGATTCACCCAGCTAAAAAAACCAATTTAAAAAGGTATGAAAGTAGTTGATTGAAACTCAAACCAAACCAAGCCCTTCCATTCTAGTTTTTAATAAAAGAATCAATTTCTTTTTAATAAATTGATATATTTCAATGCTGTAACCTGATAACCCAAGGTCCTATCAAGGGTAGCTAAAATGAAGATTCCTGGTCTTTTTATAAAAGCACCATGAATGACAGCATTCTTGCATTCAGTGTCACAAGAGATTACCCTCTGCTGAGTGTGGACCAGACTAGGACAGAGAATAACAACCCCGTCGCTGGGTTTCTGAGACTGTAAATCGTGAAAGGAGAGGAGGACTGATCTTATCCTGTGGAGCGGCTGGTGGGCCTCGAACTGCTGGTCTTTCAGACCAGTGCAGAAGGACAGTGTATTTCACTGTACGCGAGCGAAATCACTTCCTCCTCCTGGAGAGCAGGTCAACGAGACACAGGCGTTTAACTCTACCAACAGAATTGAAGATCCGGGCTCTTAGAATTCAATCCACTTCCGAAAGCAGCAAACATCTCAAGGTGCAAGCATTCATGCAGCAAATGGCCATAAACACCCACTGCTGGAGCACCAACTCACAGCAGAGGATTAGAATCGCTCTGAAGTCTGATCTTAATTAACCAAGTCAGAGGCGTAATCTCCAGGGACCGGGAATTGAGATGGGGAAAGTGGGGCTGGGAGAAGGGGAGCAATATGACTCTGGAACCTTCCTGACTTATTTCCGAGAAGCTTGCACTGTTTTAAGCAGCCAGAAAGCTGGCTGGAGCTCAAGACAATGTGTCCTGCCCAAGGATCCCAGGGGCCAAATTCTGTAGACTAGAATGGCGATGTCCGACTCGCTGCGCTAATACAGCTCCTTCATTTTATTAACGATGGAAGGGAGGCTCAGAGAGGTGTAGTGACTGGCCCAAAGCCACAGAGCTCGTAAGTGCCAGAACATCGGGGTGGACCTCGTTCCCGGCATGCATTTCTGTGCCCCGCCCACCGCACATGCTTAGTTATCTTGCTGCTGATGTTTCATCCAAGCCATGGTAGAGAGAGGACAGAGTTCAGAGGTGAACAGATGTATACACTTACTAGCTAGATGTGTGAATGAGCAGAAATCAACTCTCCTCTTCACCAATGTTGCTCCAGGAAGGAGAACTGGATTTTATAATGAGATAAAGAAAGGACTATCGAGTAGGGAGAGAAAATAGAAAGATGAAGGTCAGCCAACAGGCAGCATCTCTTTATTTATTTTAAAATTTTAACTTGAATTTTGAATATTCATTTATGATAAGGTTATATACTGAAAAGGGGACGTACCTTCCCCCGTGGCCCTGAGTGGACCCCCACCAACATAAGGGCCACCAGTCAGTTTCTTGTGGGGCCTTCCAGGGATATGGTCTATAGGAAGAGGCTGCAAAAAGTGTGTGGGACCAGAGAAAGAACTGGTGGTCTGCCTCCCTAAAGATGAAACCCACCACCCCCACGGAGTCAACCTTGATTCCTAGTGACCCTATAGGACAGCATACAACTGTTCCATGAGGGAACCCTAAATCGCGACAGAGCAGACAGCCTCAGCTCTCTCCAAGAGTGAGAAAGCAGAGTGGTTGGCAGGTTGAACAGGCGGCCTTGCAGTTAGCAGCCCGACCTGTTACCCATGGCACCCCTCGGGCTCCTGCCCATGACGGTTTCAGCTCAGGAGGCATGTTTGAC